TAACAGATGTCAAACGCAAAATGAACGAGGCGAGGCTCATGGACGGAATGTCGGCTCTCATTCACGAAACCACAACACATTGCGACAAAATCTGGGACCCATGGCTCGCAGAGCCCACAACCCACACCTAATACACAACACGGTGCGCCATCCCATCCCACCCCCCCCTCTACTCCCCATAAAACGCACACAAGCCAGACAATAACACAAAGCCATACGAAACGGACACACAAATTCCAAAATCCCCCCCTTACCATTTCAGGAACACACCCAAAACGGTATCTCCTGAACTTGAACCCCAAGAACACAAAAACAATCTGATACAAGAGTTACAATCAATTAACAAAAAAATAAATAAATAAAAAAAAAAAAACACTGACAGATCAAAACACCAGTTGACAAACCGACGACTGAAAAAACAGGTTTCTCGAAGAACAAACGTACTGCTAACCAAGGAATTGTCTTCTTTCTGTACATGCATAGTTTTTCTTTTTTGTTGTTTGTTTGTACCACAAAAGTCCGGCTTTTGCACAAGCCGATTACATGATCATATGTTTACAAGTTGTATTGTATGTCAATGCATAAATAAAGAATTATAAAAAAACTCTCAAACAGATGGTACCCAACAACACCTAAACGTTTCACGAAAATTTTCCCAGAGTAATCAGATAGATGCTGGAAATGCAAAGTTAAACGACCACTATACACACCCAGACCACTTCAGCTTAATGAAGTGATCTGGGTGCCAGGTCCATCTAGGATTAACCCCGCCTGCTGTAAACATAGCAGTTTTAGAGAAACTGCTATGTTTACATATGGGTTAATCCAGCCTCTAGTGGCTGTCTCATTGACAGCCGCTCGAGGCTTCCATGCTTCTCACTGATTTTTACAGTGAGAAGATGCTTACGTCCATAGCAAAGCATTGAGAATGTTTTCCTATGACACTGGCTGAATGCGCGCGCGGCTCTTGCCGCGCATGCGGTCAAGAGGGAGGAGAGTCCCCAGCGCCGAGGGAGCTGGAGCAAGGTAAGGGATTAACCCCTTCCTCCCCCTAGAGCCCGACAGGAGTGGGACCCTGAGGGTGGGGGGAACCTAAAGACCATATAGTGCCAGGAAAACGAGTCTGTTTTCCTGGCACTATAGTGGTCCTTTAATGAAGGCAATTTGATCCATGTATGGTTGCAATGCACACCTATAAATACATTTTGGAAAGATGTAATCAATGTAATATATCAAATAACAGAAATGAAATAAGTTTTAAAACCTGAAGTGGTCCTGTTAAACCTGAACTGGCCAGAAATGTTAACGTTACATATCATCACGGCAGCTAAATTACTTTTAGCACGAACCTGGTAAACAGGGACAATTCCATTTCACCCAAGAATTAATCACACAAGTCATAAGCCATGCAAAAATGGAAAGGGGTATCTTGGTGAACCTAGGAAACAGATATACTCAAATAGAAGACTGGGATACATGGATAAACAAAATGGAAATGTCTACCTAATAAACAGCACTATAGTGTCCAAGTTCCTCTCCGACCCCACTCCTTCCCGGATTCCTTTATTTACTTTTTTCCCCTTTTATTATTTTTTTTTCTTCTCTCTGTATATAGTGTGTAATAATTAACGGGGGTATAATTCACATCCACCTACAGAGAGGGGAGGAGACGAGGAATCTAGATGAACATATAGAATTTCTCAAGACGGGCAGATAAACAGAATAAAAATTATTTATAATATAAAGGATGTAAGATGAGCGCTCTATCTCCAAAGCAAGCAGGGAAATCAAGATTGATAGACACGAATTCACACTAGGATTTCATAGGATATCAGGGTGTCAGGATTACTAATTGATCCAGCACGCAGAATAGTATCACACCTAGGACTAAGGATAATATCTAACCGGACCTTAGAATGGCCGGACTTAACGTATCCAAGAATAGTCAGAACACTTGCCGAGGTCAGAGATACAGAATGAGAAAAAGACAAAATTCAAGGATACCAGAAATCAGGGAAGTCAGAATGAAGCCAAAAGTCAAATACCAAAATATCAAGATCAGGAATGCACTCTTGGATTACCATCAGGCAGAAACCACGACAGGGCAATGAGAGAATGTAAAATTTTGTTTAAATAACCCTCCTGTTATTCTGATTGGCTGTAATCGGCATTTGACCCCAAAACATGCCCGTGCGTGACATCTCACGCACGCCGACGTAGTCCTCAACGTGGGTGGCCATGGGGCTATAAAGTGGCATAGATTCACAGTGGGCATGCTGGGTTTATCAGGTATCCGGGCGCATGGTTGCAGATGGGCACAACTATTCCTGTCAGGGCGGTAAATACCATCATAAACATTTCTATGTGCGTATGAATCCGTTACACAGGGTAGGATACGGGGAGTTTAAAATAAAATAAAAGTTAAAAACATTAAAGCTCACCTTGCATGCACATTTGAGCTCACTGTCAGTGTTACTGTTACACACAGACACAAGCACACTGCAGACAAGCTCACTGACACACAAAGATCTACAACTACAAGCATATTACACACAAGCATGAGGACACTAATGCTTCACTAGAGGACAGGTCATCAATTTTTATGTTCTCACAGTAAGCAGGTTGTGTTGCAGACAGGTGACTGTCTAAGTGCTATATTAATTTAATGTAGATTCTGAAAGAACACTTATCAATATAATACAAAAAGTGACTCAATTTTAAAGTCTTTATAAAGGAGTTCAGTCTCATCACATATTGTTCACTGAGCAACAGAATAAAAGGGTAAATTACGGTCTCTGGCATAATACAGAACCTAGAATACGATGTCCTTATTTGTAATGTTGCTGCGATCAAAATGTTATAAAGTAAAGTAACTAAAAAAGGGAAATCACACAAACCCAAAACATGCATCTCTTAAAAATAGCAAATACTCCATACCACAACAACTTTCAGATCATAGCACTTAAAGATACAGAAAAGTAATAACATGGCTGACTTTTATAATGTTATGGAGTTAAGGCAGAATTCTCTTTGGATTTTCCGATTTTACTGCATTTTTTTTCCTCTTTGCCACACACACACACTACAGATTAATGGTAAAGTTCTGAAACTAGTAGGCAACCTTCAGAACTCCAAATGTTATGGACTACATCTCTCATAATGCTCTTACAGCCATAATGGTGGAAAAGCATCAGCAAAGTTTTAGAGTTCCCTGTTCTAGAATGTTTGTAGTAATGACATTCAGCATTTTAACACTCAGTATGAAGACGCTGAAGGCTCCTTTTATAGAGATGCATTGGGTCAATGCTTCTCTACAAGGAGATGCTGATTGGTGCAGCGATTTTTGCCATGTGTAGTAGCCTTTCTATACTTCCCTATGGTAATAATTCTCAGCCAGTAGAGGAGCTGTGGTTGCTGCGAGACTGGCGTATATAGGGTAAGTTAGTACGTTCATTTGAATACGTCTGGAGGAGAGGGCTTCATCTAAATAGATAACATAACACCAACGTTACAAATATAAATTTTAGAACTTTCGTACTTGCAAAGCTGAGCAACGACTCTTCTAGGTTATGCGATCCAACTTTAAACTCCTGTCCGTCAGCAGATGTACAAGATATCTACTTTATCTTCAGACACAGTTTCACAGCTTCTATCTTTTTGTGTACATCAGTATTATCAAATGGTAAAATTCAAAGAGCAGGCAAGTTTATTACCCAAAACAGGAATAGTGTTGTTCGTTCTCCACAATAGCAATTCTTAAGAGCAGAGTCACTTTGTGGTCTGGGCAGAGACCACTGCAATAGCGAGAGAGGAGATAGAGAGAGATATATCGCCAACCTTTTCCACAGCACTTTACAATAAGAGTGGAATTTACCAAATGAGACAATAAACATGAACAGTAGGTAGTTGAGGACCCTGCTCAAACGAGCTTACAGTCTAGAGGAGGTGGGGTATAAAAGCACAATAGGAAGGGTATTGAGAGAGACCGCAAGTAGACATGGTGGGAAAGTAGCAGAGCTGGAGGTGAGAGTGGAATATGGCCCTATAGGAGAGAGCGAGAGGAAGGTTTGAGAGATAGAAGTTACTAATGGAGACCATAAGTAATACTGAAAAGATGGGTTTTGAGGGACGTCTTAAAGGATTGAAGACTAGGGGAGAGTCTGTCAAGGGTAGGAAGGCTATTCCAAAGGAATGTCGCTGTCCATGAGAAGTTCTGCAGGCGTGAATTTGCAGCAAGGGTGCGAGCAGCAGACAGGAGAAGATCACCAGTAGAGCGGAGAGACCGAGAGGGGGCATACCTATGAATCAGTAAAGAAATGTAAGAGGGGCTAGAGTTAATTAGAGCTTTATAGGCAAGGGTTAGTATTTTAAATTACACCTGTAGGGTACAGGAAGCCAGTGTAAGGATTGACAGAGGGGTGAGGTGTGAGGAGCGACAGGAGAGCAAGATCAGCCTGGCAGCAGCATTCACCACAGATTGTAGGGGGGCATTACGGATTACAGAAAATTAGTTTTGCATCGATTTTGAAACATTACCTTTAGATTTACATTGAAAAGAATGAATTGCTTAAAAAGAACCTGAAGCGTACCTTTAAGCTTGGTGCATTTCCTCAACCTAGTCAGTCACAGATACGTTTTAAACATATTTACTTAAAACATCGAGCGAGAGAAAACTATTTTAAAAACACTTTATTTAAAAGACACAAAGATTGTGTAGTGAATTAGTCATGTGATACTACAGGATGCAAGTGCAGGAATAAATATGGTGCAATATGTATTCATTAACAAAACATTAATATCTTCAGGGGAAAAGAAAAAACACAGCAATGTGCATGTAAAGGATATCGATAAAGTGATCTAATTCAGTGGACAATACTTATATAGACCAGAACCCAGCTATTGGAGGGTTAGGATTAAGAAAATAATGAATAAATTGTGTGTGTTAACATGTGGTCTGTATGCTCTAAAGATAGTACAACTTTCACAAGATTAACCAATGGTTACATAGAGCAGTCCACAAACTGGTCCAGCAGGTCTGCACGCAGGTGGGGTGTAGTAAAAGTTTTAGACCAACATCCACGGTCACGATTGGAAGGACACGAGCGTCTTAAGTGTTGGGCAGCGCGTTTATGGCTCGAGAAGGAAAAGGAGTTTTTGTCATGACAAGATAGACGTCTGTACTCCGAGAAACACTCTTTACAAGGTTGGGTGTCCCTTGACCTGCTCCTTGAAATATGGTCTTGATTCAGAGTTTCTCTTGACCGACTTGTGCGGCTAGATCTAGGCTGGCGAGTCTTCCTTGAGCTGCTTCTATCGCCATGTTTATGGTAATAAAGCTCGTTTTCCTGGGCAGTGAAGTCAATTTCTGGAGGAATGTTCTCCTTTAACTCCTCTCTATGTCGCAGGTTAAGACCTTCCATGTAGCCCTCTCCAGGATGAAAAGTATCTCTGGAATGATTTCTACATATTTCAATTGCTCCATGTGAATTCTCGTTACCCAGCCAAAAATGGACACCATCTCTGTGATCAGTCATGTACAACTGTGGGATACCACTGTAATGTGTGATATCTTCATCACATTGGTGATGTTCTTCAGAATGCGTTTGGGTTCGAACTTGTGATGCTTTACACGGAGCATGTGTTGGTACTGCTTTGTAGTCATCCCTGGGGGAGGATATCCTTTCAAATGGAGGTGAATCCTCTGAATACAGAGAATCTGTCTCAACTGGTTCTAGTTCTCTCACATGCCATATTAAATGTCTTGGAATTTTCTTGGCAAAATACAGATGGTGTTCCCTCGTAGAGTTGCTCTCGCAGAGAGTTCTTCATCTCACGCCTTCTGTGTTTGGATGATGCCCTACAAGATGTAGACAGACATATTAAGTCAACATTTTAATATCACATCACCTATTATTGAATCTCCCAGTATATGGTTTCCCCACAAAGTAAGATCACAGAGATCCAGGACTTATTTTATTTAACTGCTTGTTAAAGCTACATGAATAATAGGATAAGGAGACAGTGCCCATAGACCCCCAGAACAATATAAATACTACTCATCTGTCGGAGTGCCCATTAAATATATTTTATTAAAATACTTTAGATTGTAAGCTCAGATGGTTCTGTATAAAAAGGGCTTCAGCTCACATACATTGTCTTTACTTTTTGTATTGGTCGGTTTATGTTTTACTGTCGCCCACCCCCACCTCCCTTCCCATGGGTCAGGGGGTCACAAACACTAGCTTTGACAATGCTCACAGATGGATTCAACTAGGATTTAAGTTTGTGCCCTTACACTCACTAAAACTAAAATTACCCCTTCTCCCACATTAATAACTGAATTTTACATGTGCACTGGGCAAGATAAGTAAATAAAATCCTTTTTTGTAACCCTTTTTTCCTTCTTTTTCAAGATGACTAATTGGTCTTATTTTGGGAATTAAATCAATGGTAAAGAAATGATGCAAAGAAATATTAAAGAACAATAAAAAAAATAAATCAGAAAGGATTATTTCTAGGCATTACATAAGAACAGTCACAAGTGTATAAAGCTTATAGTAACAGTTACACGTAACAAAATGGAGCGTGTGCACAAAAGCTGATGCAAATGCATAAATTTTTGTAAATCACCCCAATATCTTCCAACACTGGTCATGCAGTTGCTTTTACCTTCCAGTAGAGGCTATTCCCAAGACCCGGTAAAGATCCTCGGAGCTTGGCATGTCTGGGTCCACATGATGACGTGGCACAGACAAAGGGGTTGGTCTAGGGCAAAGGTAGGGAGTCATGCTGAATTTGACTGGCTTTGCTGATCGGGGTCTGATGCGTGGCCCTGGTGCTTAAGGGGAAAAAAAAGAAATCAAATTAGATGAACCAGACAAGCGTATGCAAGTCTCCAAGAGGGAAAAAAATCGTATTTCTACTCACATTCACTCATTGAGGACAAGCTGTCACTCCTGGTCTCATCTGCATCAGAATCACTTTTCCGATATCTTCGTTCGCGTCTTTGGGACATCAATGCAGACCTTAGAAAGAAGAAGGTTAACCCTAGTATTTATTTAAGTCCACAAAACTACTGGAACTTTATTTTTTTAACTATTAATAAAAATTTTACTCAACTTGATTTAGTCAAATTTGATTAAACACATGCATATACCTTTCAATAATTGGCAGGTGTGTAATCAGGACATGTGGTTGGGCTTTCTAGGGGGCTTTTTTTTTAGTGATGCAACTTGTGTCGCTGGTAACACCCACAATGTGCTGCCCTGTGTGGGTATGCGAGTGCTTTCCCACTGAAGGGGGCATGTCAGCCTGGCGTTGAGCATGCCAAGACAACAAACTGCTTCCCGGCTGACTCTCTGCTTGCACAAGCATGCAGCTGAAGTGCTCTCTGAAGTTGCAGAACTTGTTTCTCTGGTGTTCCTGGATGCTTAAAGAGGGGCTGCTGGGAGCCATGCAAACATAGTGTGGATGTTCTTATTCTATATGTGAGCATTATGTAAAAACTAACTAGTTTAACTTGGTCAAATAGTATCTCAATAAATTAGAAACTAGTCACTTTAGAATTCAAGAACCAATTTAATTAAAATACTTCTCAAAATAGATCTGTAGAAAAAAAAGACAAAAAACAGTCATTATAATGTAACAGAAAGGAGCTGTATAAATACAGATATTACTAGGATCCCACAGATATTACTAGGATCTCGCCCCAGAGGGGGCCGTGCTGTGTATAATGGAATAGAAAGGAGCTGTATAAATACAGATATTACTAGGATCCCAACCCAGAGGGGACTGTGCTGTGTATAATGTAATAGAAAGGTGCTGTATAAATACAGATATTACTAGGATCTCGCCCCAGAGGGGGCTGAGCTGTGTATAATGTAATAGAAAGGAGCTGTATAACAAGCTGGTGATATTACTAGGGATCCTACCCAAGAGGCGCTACTGTGTATAAGTAATAATGTAATAGAAAGGAGCTGTATAAATACAGATATTACTTAGGATCCCACCTCAGAGGGGGGCTGCGCCTGTGTAAAATGTATTAGAAAGGGGAGCTGTATAAATACAGATATTACTTAGGGATCCTACCCCAGAGGGGCCGCTGCTGTGTATAATGTAATAGAAAGAGCTGTATAAATACAGATATTACTAGGATCCCACCCCAGAGGGGGCAGCGCTGTGTATAATGTAACAGAAAGGAGCTGTATAAATACAGATATTACTAGGATCCCATCCCATAAGGGGCCGCACTGTGTATAATGTCATAGAAAGGAGCTGTATAAATACAGATATTACCAGGATCCCACCCCAGAGGGGGCTGCGCTGTGTATAATGTAATAGAAAGGAGCTGTATAAATACAGATATTACTAGGATCCCACCCCAGAGGGGACTGCGCTGTGTATAATGTAATAGAAAGGAGCTGTATAAATACAGATATTACTAGGATCCCACCCCAGAGGGGGCTGCACTGTGTATAATGTAATAGAAAGGAGCTGTATAAATATAGATATTACTAGGATCCCACCCCAGAGGGGCCTGCGCTGTGTATAATGTAATAGAAAGGAGCTGTATAAATACAGATATTATTGGGATCCCACCCCAGAGGGGGCTGCGCTGTGTATAATGTTACAGAAAGGAGCTGTATAAATAAAGATATTACTAGGATCCTGCCCCAGAGGGGTCCACACTGTGTATAATGTAAGAGAAAGGAGCTGTATAAATACAGATATTACTAGGATCCCACCCCAGAGGGGGCTGCGCTGTGTATAATGTAACAGAAAGGAGCTGTATAAATACAGATATTACTAGGATCCCACCCCAGAGGGGGCTGCGCTGTGTAGAAATACCTGCTGGGAGGAGCCAGTCTCAGTACTCGGTAGAGCTCTGCAGTGGAGGGCGTGACAGGGTCACCCCTTTTGCGCCGGGAGTTGCTGACACAGGACCAGTTGGGGGTGAAGTTCTTAAAGATCTGAGAAGTTGCCCTGGGTGTACCAGGAGCTGAAGAAAAGAAAACCAGTCAGTCATTCATTGCGTAATGCTCAGATATTGAATAGGTTTAAAGGGTAGAGACAGCCGGAGTGAGCATAAGGCTCAGGTAGTGCGAGTAACCAGGAATTTTTGTGTTATTAAAAACAGGAAAAAAAATATATATATTTAATTTTATTTTCAAAACGTACAAAATGAGCATTTTGATGAGCATTTTCCTTTAACAAGGCTTAAAATGTACAGTCCTGCGCTACTAGCCAGACCAGGTTACTCACCACGGCAAATCTGGATGGTCCATGGCACACTCACCAGGGGCGAATTTCTACATGCTATTGGAGTGTGGAAATTTTGAGTCATGTCCAATGTATCTAAAATGGTGGCTTGGACGGTATGGCATTCTACTCTGCACAACCAGTATTCTTATAATCGAACCAAAGAAAATTTGCTTCTCAATGCCAATTCTGGGATAAAGTTTAAAGGTTTTTTTTTTTTCTGTGCAGACCTAATGAAAGATTAGGATCTAAGCATATAGCACATTAAACAATTTCAGATACAATTCTGGTAAATGGATCTATTTTTTTTCAACTTTCCATTCCTCTTTAAATCAGATGTTAAAAATCAACTCAAGGTGTAGAGGAATTTCTGGATCTCACATCTCACATCTCTACACCATATGGACCTTAGATTCTCATGGAGCTTGGAGGTATGAATTACACCTTAAATTCACTTTACCAAAGCCTGCAAAGATTGTTCTTCCCTTTCATTAGAAATATTTTTGTGGTTGAGGTTCTGGACACAAGTCAAAAAGGAAGAGTCTATCCAAAGACTGCAACTAGATTATGAAAGCTGACTTGAGTACATATGAAGACACAGATGCCACCACCCACCAATAGCTGGTTACAATGGATGTAGACACTAACCTGCTGAAGACCAGGGTGGGGTCTTTTTCCACGATGGAGTTTCCAGCCCTGGTGTCATAGTCAGGAATTGCTGCTTCACAAAGAGAGCCTGGTCGGCCTTAAACTGGAGACGCTATGGAGCAAGAGTCAGAGGTTATTGGCAATTCTAGAATTGGAAATCAGCAGAGTTAATCAAATTTGTACGGTTACCTCTCGTCCCAGGCGAATTGCAGCCTCTGTGAACTTCTCTCGCTCATACTGAAAGGCCCGTTTTTGATCCTCAAAGATCGCTCTGTCCTGCTGTAGCCTTAGCTGCTCCTCCAAGAAATAAGCATCCCACAAAGGGGAGACCTGACCCTCACCAGGCTTGGGCAACATCTGCTCCTGTCAGCAACACAAAATGGCTGCAGGTTATCCCAACAAGGAATAGCCTTGCCCATACCGTGGGGAAGATTTAGAGCGTTATTCACTAAAGTGTGGCTTGTCAGTAATTGAAAATTAATTTCAAATTCGTGGACAAAATAGCAGAACTGGAAATGTTGCCAAGTCAGCAATACTTGGGCATTAATTTTTAATCTACTCCAATTCACACGTCACAATTAATTTCACATTTTGGACCACACTAGCAAAGATGGAAAAATACTCCAAGTGGGTCATGTTAGCAGATTGGCTGTTTTGGCCTAAAACGTTAAATTCACTTGGAATTTTGGAAAATTCACACTTTATTGAATATTCTTGGTCATGTGTAACTCGTACCAACCTAGCTACAACATTCTTATATCAGGATAACCTAAATATTACACATATATCAAAACATGAGGTCCAAAATATTACTACAAGTCATTGTTCTAGCATTAATGTTACACATTCCTGGTCACCCCACCCCCGTCCCATATCTCCCCACCCACCCAAACACCCACAATTATACTTTTTAAATATAAAATGTTGACCCTCTTGTGTCCATTTACCACTTGAACCCTCAATGGCTTCAGAACTTAAAACGTGTTAGCACACACCCTCATTTATGATTTGGTCAAACGCTTTACAATGTCATATAAACAAACAATATGCCAAGGGAGAGCCATACATTCATAAACCAGTGCTGTGCATCAAATGGATACTTGGAAAAAGTCTAGATTTTGCAACAGAGAGCCACCTTTATTTATCCGTTCCACTAACCCTACCACACTTTCCCTTTTCCTTCACTGGCATTGCGGTGCTTATATTCCCCTAAGACACCCATTGTAATCAGTATTATGTCATTTTTGCCTCAGACAGGTCATTGTTTTTATTCTTACAGCTTTACGATTATCTATTGGAGAAAGAAAAAAAATATATATTTTTCCTAAAAAGATGGTCTATGCCTTTTGTCCTATCCATTTATATTCCTTGAATTTAGTCTTGTTCTCGTAGTACAGCAGTGAATGGATCCTTATTTGGTATCTTTGTGGTTGAACACCCAAAAGGATCTCATTTACATTCTATGGATGCACTGTTAAACAATAGACCACACATACATTTGGCACAGTTAGTTATTGAGTTGGAGTCATCGTGAACCATCAGCGCTCCAGCAATTTTGAAAAATATTTACTACGATGCTAAGAATGCCAAATCATTCCAATCAGATTGATCATTTTGAGCCAAGCATAATACTCTGTATTAAGCCTTATCCCCTGGTGTGTCAACATTCACCAACTGCAGGTTCCCCGTCCAATCTTTCACGCATTGCATATTCCTCACAGCGGGCCGGTCCAGTCACCATACCTGCAATAGTTCCTGCTGTTGACTGATCAGTTCTCTGCTCTTCTCCAATTCTTTCCGAAGTTCCTCCATTTCCTTCCTCATGCTAGTCAGTTCCTTCTCATGATCCGTCACACTAATCACATGGGTCACGTTCGCCTGTGATGCTGGGGAGATAAAATGGAAGGTGTAGTGATGTGGCTACCAATTGTTAGAGTTAAAAAAAAACAAAACATTTTTATCTCAAATCTGGCAATACGTAAAAAAAAAAAAAAAAATTTTAGAAATCCAATAAGGACAAAACTCACTGAACTAACGTGGCACATAGTTACTTCATTGAAAAAAATAAAGATTAATTCTTGTAGTTATTCTAAAATTACACCTTGTTACACACAAAGATCTTAAACCTCATGGATAGCTAGCAAGTTTACTTACATAAACATTAATGGCACACAATGGCTTTCCCCTGTTAAAGCAAAAAGGCTAAAAGGAAGTTGCCTTGAAAGTTTCTCTCATTTAAAGGACTAGCTTGGGCATCATAACATCATCAAAATGAAGACATTCTGGTACCTGGCTCTTGCGCACCTTTAGTGACTAAACCACTCATGAACGGTTTGTGACTAGAGCAATCTCGCCACATTGCATTGGAGAAGCCTGGTTGCTCGCCTGCTGCCTTTGGACTATGGCCCCATGTTAAAAGACATCTTTTTCCCTGCAGAAAATACTTATTCGTGCTTTTCTGCCTGGTGTTCGGTAGATTCAATCTACCAAACAACCACACGAATGACTTGACCACCTGGGAGCTGGAGTGTGCCAGCAATTAGCCTCCCTGAAGCTGCGGTTAACCGCAGCTTAATTGACGAATGCTGGGTGGCCGCCATTCGTATCCCGAACACGAGGTCGCGGCCATTTTAAACATGGAACTAAAAACGGACACAGTTTTTCGGTAGTTTGACTTGACTATGTTATACCCCAGATAGGAATCCCATGGAGCCCATTCGCATGAGAACTGACTGTGTAAAGACTTTGGCTCCATGGCGATTACACTGTTTTCGTGTGATCTGAGCGCCATTCGCTTAATAATGTGCGCTCAGACCTGAGCTATCTGGGCACATGTTAAATGTATAGTTTTATTGTAATGTGTCTCACATAGTGTATTTTAATAGTAATTCATGTTTGTAACGGACCGTTTTGCACAAAAGGGGAAAAAACCACTTAGACGATAATCCCCCTTTCAGAGTCAGGCACAGCTACTGTATAATCACCAAAACTCACGAACCGCCAATAAGTGAATGCTCCAAACTCCCGAACGGCATACAAGGGAATAAGGTAGCACTTCAAATAAACGAACAGGAACCATACGAATAGCTGCTAGCAGGCGAACAGGAAAAGCTTCCAAGCGGCTTACACTCCTGGCAATCAGTCCTTAGCAGCATACAGTAAATCCCCCCAAAGACGAGACAAGGCTCCGTGTTGAGGGTCAAGCAGTGGTCTGTTTAATGAGGGCTACCTGCCCAGCTTTTATGCAGGTCTCCCACCTGGTGGACACTCCCCTAGGGGACCAAATGGGAGACTGTGACAAGGGACAGACAAGTATACAAATAGGACACACAGTCACAGTATATTCCCACAATGCATCCTGGCTTCCTCCCCTCTGCCCTGGGAGATAATTGGGAAGTAACTCAATTATCTCCCAAGACAAAGGCAAAACTCCATTACACACGTGGGAACACAAAACAGCATTATACTTTAAAATGCACAAAGTAACATTTACTACATTAAACACAGGCATGTAACACATCCCCAGATAGCTCAGGTCTGAGTGCACATTATTAGGTGAATGGCACTCAGACTACACGAATACAGTTCAATCGCCATGGAGCCAAAGTCTTTACAGTCAGTTTCATACGAATGGGCTCCATGGGATTCCTATCTGGGGTATAAGATATTCACACAAAAATACCGAACACCGGGTCATTCGTGTGCTTTCACCGAACGAGAAGGGAGGTCGGCGGCTTCAGCGGTGTTCGCGCAAAACTGTGTCCGATTTTAGTTCCATAAAAATAGAGGCGAACACCGCTGTTCATTCGTATGGTTTAAAATGGCCGCGACCTCGTGTTCGGGATACGAACGGCGGCCACCCAGCGTTCATCAATTAAGCTGCGGTTAACCGCAGCTTCAAGGAGGTTAATTGCCGGCACACTCCAGCTCCCAGGTGGTCCAGTCATTCGTACGGTTGTTCGGTAGATTGAAACTACCGAACAACCGGCAGAAAAGCACGAATACAGCTTTTCTGCATGCAAAAATAAAGTCTTTAAAAAGGGGGCCATAGTCCAAAGGCAGCAGGCGAGCAACCAGGCTTCTCCAATGCAATGTGGCGAGATTGGTCTCGTCACATCTCTCCCCTTTTCCAAACAGACTAGCAGGGTATCTGACCTCCTGCCGGTCAGTGCCCTTGTTAGTCCAGCAGCCCACCCACAATAAATGGTTACTACACCTGGGTAAAGGGGAAGCTTGTCCAGGTCCAGGTGCCTCACCACGGCTGTGCTGGGTACGGGTACGCTGACTTGGTGGGTTGCTGCGTGGGCAGAGACCAGCGGCACTCTGCCCTGTTGCCAGCGCTACTGGGAGGGTAGCCTGGTGGAAGCCTGGTTGTTGGAGGGGGAGACCAACTGTCTCCCCTTTAAATACACCGCTCTGCTGCTGCTGCTGGAGACTGACTGTCTCCCCTTTAAATACACCGGTCTGCTGCTGCTGGAGACCGACCGTCTCCCCTTTGGTTACCCATCTCTGCTGCTGGAGGGGGAGACCGATTGTCTCCCCTTTGGCTAAACAGCCCTGTCGCTGGGGGGCAGGACCGACCGTCCCTACCCCCTGTGCTGGCAGTGTAGAGACTATGGTCCCATCTGCACGGTTGTGGGGCTTACTGTCTCCCCTTTGTACATTAAGCTGCCGCTGGGGAGAGGGGGTAACAAGCTCCTCTCCCATACATACTTCCAGCTGTGGGGGAGGGAGACCGACTGTCTCTTCTCCCAATACAGAGTCCTGCTGCTGGGGAAAGGAGACTGGGCTATCTATTCCCGGTAGGACACTCTGCCGCTGGGGAATGGAGACTGGGCTCCCAGTTCCCAAAGCATCATACTGCCGCTGGGGAATGGAGACTGGGCTCCCAATTCCCCAAAGCATCATTCTGCAGCTGGGGAATGGAGACTGGGCTCCCAATTCCCAAAAAATCACGCTGCCGCTGGGGAGGGAGGACACTGCTCTCCTCTCCCTGGACTTCCCACTGCCTTCCCGGCATATCACTTGGCTGCTGGGGGGCAGGAACAACTACCTCTGCCCCCTGTAACTCAGCCTGCTGCTGGGGAAGGGAGCTCAGGCTCCCAATTCCCTGCAATATCTCCCGCTGGGGAATGGAGCTCGGGCTCCCAATTCCCTGCAATTTCTCCCGCTGGGGAATGGAGCTCGGGCTCCCAATTCCCTGCAATTCATTCTGCTGCTGGGGGACAGGAGCGACTATCTCTGTCCCCTGTAACTCAGCCTGCCGCTGGGGAATGGAGCTCAGGCTCCCAATTCCCTGCAATATCTCCCGCTGGGGAATGGAGACTGGGCTCCCAATTCCCAATAAATCACACGGCCGCTGGGGAATGGAGACTGGGCTCCCAATTCCCTGCAGGACCGGTGGAGAGACCTCGGTCCCATCTCTACCGGCCACCTGGGGTTCTTCCCAGAAAATATCCACAATGTCTTCCCAGCTGAATGGGTCTGGTTCTGGCTCTGTCACCTTGCTGTCCTGCTGAATCTTCTCAATGGAGTGGAAGAGATCTCGGTAGTCCTGCTCCAGTTCCCACTCCAGGGTTGCTAGGTGAGCCAGGTCTTGCTCAATGTCGTGAGTGTCGTCCCAGTCATACCTGCTCTCCCTCCACTCCAAGAGATCACTGAACCGGGCTTGTGTAGGGCTCCCAAATTCAGGCTCTGAAAAAGCCTCCCATAACAAGCCAGGACCATCAAACTCCTCTCCCTCTGGCTTGTCATGCTCGGCTGTCCAGGGCAGGTACTGTGCCCCATACCACCAGAGCGCCTGGTATGCATCTTCCAGCCAAATCTCCTGCCATACCCGGTGCTCCAATTCCTTCACCCATTCATCTAGGGGCTGCTCTCCCAGGAAGGGCATCCGCAGGGCCACTTGCTTCTGCAACCGCTGCTCTTCACTGGGGAGACTCTCACCCCGCTGGTACTGTACATTATCCAGGGCCTGGTACCAGATGCCTTTCCTTAATGCATCCCGGCCATCCAGGTCCTCCTCCTCGTATGACACTGCTGGTTCCATGCTGTTGCTGTCAGGGTCGCTGTACTCAGACATGCGTTGCCCTCAAATTGTAAATCCACGGAATGGTGTCGCCTGTAGCTGTCCTGTAGTCTGTGGGAACGATCCCGCCGCTTGCCACCAATTGTAACGGACCGTTTTGCACACAAGGGGTAAAAACCGTTTAGGCGATCGGCCCCCTTTCCAGAGATCCAGGCACAGCTACTGCAGAACACCAAAACTCACGAACTGGATACAAAATAGCACTCCAACTCCCGAACTGGAACCTCCCAAATAGCTGCTAGCAGACGAACAGGAAAAGCAGACAATCAGCTTACACTCCTGGCAATCAGTCTCTAACAGCATACAGTGAATCCCCCCAAGAACGAGACAAGGCTCTGTGTTGAGGGTCAAGCAGTGGTCTGTTTAATGAGGGCTACCTGCCCAGCTTTTATGCAGGTCTCCCACCTGGTGGACACTCCCCTAGGGGACCAAATGGGAGACTGTGACACACAGTCACAGTATATTCCCACAATGCATCCTGGCTTCCTCCCCTCTGCCCTGGGAGGTAATTGGGAAGTAACTCAATTATCTCCCAAGACAAAGGCAAAACTCCATTACACACGTGGGAACACAAAAACAGCATTATACTTTAAAATACATAGAGTAACATTTACTACATTAAACACAGGCATGTAACACATCCCCAGATAGCTCAGGTCTGAGTGCACATTATCAGGTGAATGGCACTCAGACTACACGAATACAGTTCAATCGCCATGGAGCCAAAGTCTTTACA